ACCACTCATACACTACACACACACACACACACACACACACAGGAAAAGCCGTGTGAGGACACAGGAAGAAGGCAGCCGTCTACAAGCCAGGAGGAAACCCTCACCAGGAAGCAAACCCTCCAAAAATGCGAGAAATAAATTTCTGCTGTGTAAGCCGCAGTCTGTGGTGTTTTGTTACAGCAGCCGAAGTGGACAGAGACACCCTGTGCTTTCTGGATGTTTCCTGGCCGCACCCCTCATTCTTGCCATGGCTGCCCACATCCTGCCCCCGACCCCCACCCCCCAGCCCCCGAGTCAGCATCCTGCTGCAGAATCTTCTCAAACATGGGCACTCGGGGTGAGGGGCATTTGTGCTACTGGCAGGGGACCTCACCTTTGGTGGCAGCAGCAGCAGCAGGACCTGGGGCTCCTTGATCCAACCACAAGAATCGCTATGCGTTTCTTGGGCAGAAAATAAATCATAACTAACCTCCCAGAGGGTGAAGCAACTGTTAACAACGGGAGGCACCTGGAGATGCTCGAGGCTCTTGGTTTACTAAGCACGCTAGAATCTGAGGGGCTCTTTAGAATGACAAGACTGACTTAGGACCTCTTCAAAGGGGCAAGGAACAGAATATGCGCCAACGAGGCCAACGTGTGACTCCGTGCTGTTCACCAGCTGTAGAGACTCAGGGCGATAGCATTCAGGAAGACTTCATTTTTACCTGCCAATTCAAGGTTTGCTCTTCACTTTAATAATATGTTCTTTTCTTAATTCTTCCAAGGTCCCTTTTCAGGGCAGAAATTCTTGAGTTCATTCAGGGGCATCATTCAAACAGCACAATTCATCACATCTGCCAATTGACCTTTTACTTAAACGATCCTAGGCGAACAGAAAAGTCCTCAGAGAATATGGGTATGTGCAGTGTATGTTGGCTGAATTATAAACAGGAAAAGGTTTCTGTGGGATGTATCTTTTAATGAGAACACATTGTTACACTGTGAGCATGTGGCATTCTTGCTTAACAGAAACATTTACAAGAACACATACACATTTATATCCAAACACCAACTAAAGTAGATATTTTAAATGACCAGTTTGCACCAGAAATAAAATATATTATACAAAACAGGGGTTATATCCACAGTCATTAATTCTCATTTTCTACACAAAACAATAATAAATTAAATCACATTATATGCAGATAGTTCTACTTACATTAGAATAATAAACTGTATGTAGCTAGTGCAGCTTTTTCATCTACCTTTCTACCCGACTCGTGGGGTGTTGTTTGTAAGTCCTCTATGGAAATTAACAATGAACAATATGGCCCAGAAGACAAGGACGGCAGAAGTAACCCCCCACGGTGTCTGTGCTGGGTCCTCTTGGATTCAATTATTCACCATGCACAGGGAACAAAGCTTGGATTCCCCAGGGGGGAAAAAAAAGGCCTGCAAACTGACAGCATCTCCAGGCTGTTAAGGGTACCTCACTTGTAAGGTACACCGCACTGAACATTTTCAGATCTTGGCATTAATGATAAACAGGACATAACGGTCTCAAAAATCCGAATTTTCTTCTTTCTCATCCTTCTCTGCCCAGTCATTATGTGCTATGACAGCTACGTTCTCCCAGCAGATAAAAACCACCTTGGTAGCCTATGTCGTGACTTACACTGGTGAATGGGCCCTTTATTCCTTGTGCATAGAAATTTCGGTCTTTAAGCACATGAATCGAAGCAATGCAGCATTTTTGCTAGCTCTTAATTCTCCTTGTTCAAATACGTCCCCTAGAAGTCATCCCACATCTGATACATCAAAGAGCTATTATACCGTGGGTTTTTGCTTCTGAGACTCAGCTCCCACTGAAGCCCTTTCACTGCGTTAAAGTCGCCGAAAATGTGAACAGCAACAGCACCGGCTGGTTTAGAACTGCTTTGCCTTTGGTGTGAATAATATTAGTGGTTAATAAGAAATCTGAACAAACTCCAATCCAGCACCTTTTGAAAGTCATTTTAGTCCTGAAGTCTAGCTAGGGAAGAGACATCTCTGAGACCTACATGCTGAAAACCAAAGCCGGGTTTGTGGGAGCGTATGCACGTCACAGGCCTGAAGAGCCCCGGGAGCAGGTGGTCAAGTTAGGGAAGGGTTCTGATTAGAAGCCAGCTACATTCTTCCGGCCGGCGCCGTTGTGTCTCCTCTCCCTGTGAGGAGGTATGGAGGTCCTATTCACAAGTGGCCACCTGCGAGGGCAAGATGCTGATCATCTTTGGAGCCATGATGGACAGCAGATGCAGGAGGGGAGGGAGGGAGTGGTAAAGATGGTAGCAGCTGGCAATGCTACCCTCTTTCTTTCGGAAGAGCTTGATCCTGATTCTTCTTGCTGAGTGTGTCCCAAGCTTCTTACTGAAGAGGAACTAAATTACTGGTTATTCTGTAGTTCTAAAGATCAACTAAAAAGGAAACAGACCTCTCTGAACAGCACCATCTCATTCTCCATGCTTCCACACTGCCTCTAAACATATTCTGTGTTTTTAAATCAGTTCACTTTTTCCCACTAAAGGAGAAATTCAGCTCATTTTCAGCTTCCTTACAAAGCACTGAACCCCAGGGCATAACTAAACAACACCCATGAAACAGAGGTCCGGGGGGCCTAATTTTGCTTGGTGTTGGGCTTTATGGCTGCATCTGCTCAGAAAGTGAGTGTTTTGTGTCCCAAGAAACATAGGTACACGTTCCTTTCAGTTTATAAACCCTCTTTTAATACTCATGGCATACTATTCCATTTGCTCTTCTACAGAGACTTCCACAGACAGCCATGGTATGCGCACTCACAGGAAGGTGGTGAGACCACTGGACCTTCTCTGAACACTTGTCTCTGTCTATGTGGGGTCTATACAATGGCCTTAATCTCACGGCCAATGGCAAATCTTATGCGCCCCAAATCAGTGGCCCCGAAGAGGAAAGTGGTCCATTAGGGGCACAAAGGCTGCCTTGTGGAAGTTAATGATCCCAGAAGCCTGTGAACAGGGAGAAGTGACTGACATTCCAAAGCAGAAGTCTTTGAATTTAAGGAAGAGGAGAAAAGGAGGCATTATCTTTCCATACCCTTCCCCCCTCCCTCCACTGAAATACAGCTTCTGACGTGTAAAGAACCACGCTACGTCTGCGGTTCAGGAAAGGACATGCGGATGGTGCTTCCGAGAACTGTAATGTTTACAGGGACGTCCTCGTGGAAGCTTGGTCAGTCTGGGAGAAGACATACACTCTATACAGAACGTCCTTCCTGGATAGATGTGATCATCTGGAGAAAGCTTTTATTTCTGAGTCCGGAAAAGAAAAAACTCTAAGATGATGATGACCATAAAACATATGCTTATTTTCAACACCAAGAGTAGACGCTATTTTGACCTCTATCAATGTCAGCCGATGTTTGGCCAGATGACAAAATACTGATAAAGTGTCCCTTTTGAAATCTGAACAGCCTGGACTTCAGGGTAATAATTTATAAAATGTTTTAAGAACTAAAGTCCTACTTTTTTTACTGTATGATATGAGGCTACTGGAGAAGGAGAAATGACTAGTTTTCAAAGATGTTAGCAGTTAGGAACTTAAATCCGAGTTATAATCTCCAGAAGTCTTAACTCAGGGTAACCTAGGGCCAAACACTTACACTTTGAGCAAAGGTTTCCCAACTTAAGGGAGTTTTCAAAACAATAGACTTTCGGTAACTCAGATGAGGATTTCAGGGACTAGAGAATGGACAACAGACATGTAAATGAGCAATCAATCTGAGGAACCCTAGAATCGCTTTAAGATTGGAAGAACACAGCACCCAGGTATCAGAAACCTCAGGATTTGCTCTACCATTTTTAAAAAACTAAATTCTCACTAAAAATTTTTAAGATTTTTTATCTGGGGATAGAATATTAAGTTTAGAACCATTCCTCTACCTTAAGTAGAAATAAAAGATACTAACTTTAAAGACGCTAACAAGCCCCTATATAAATTCTAAAAAGGTTAGAAATATTTATACCCAAAGACTGCAACCAAGGTAGAGTGTTTTTTCCCTGTAATAAGCACTTGGGCTCAAAATTTTAATTTTTTTTAAACAAACACAAGATAATAGAAGATGAATATCTCTAAATTATATGGAAAACATCATTGAAAAATAAAAATGAGAGAGAAACAAGCTCTCAATTCATGAAATGTAGATAGATGCAAACCTTTCGTTCTGATCTCAGCTGGGGAGTCCCAAGAGGTCACACGCTTTGCTTGCCTGGTTTTACTTCCCAAACTCTCTTCCTGGAGCAGAATTTCTGGAGCTGGCCTTCCTTGCCTTCTTTTTCCATCCTGTTTTGAATTCAGCACTTTTTCCTTTGCACTCTGCGTGGAGAACTACAACATAGCTCTTTCAGTGGCTTGTAGTTCATTCTTTTATCATGTTCTCCAGCTGCCTGCATTCCATTTTTAAACAATAGAGGGGAAATGTGCCTCACGCAGAAATAATCCATTCAGCTTGACTGGCTGAGGTTGGAGTGAAGGAGACAGGCTCCTCCGGGAAAGCGAGCCCGGGCCAACTTTCCGGACACACGGCTCTCATCGCCCTGCCTCCTCCTCCACCGGTATCTGTGCAGCCCCGACCTCCATCACTACCAAGGAATTGCTCCAATTCCTATATTCCCCTAGTTTCTTGAATTCCCCAATTTTCCTCTTAGAAATGGGCTTTTACTGACATGAAGATAACCTTAAAAACTATTTTCCAGATGCTCAAGATGTTACTGAGGAAAGATCTCAGTGACACCATTATAAGATGTTCCACTGATCTGGCAACTTCCCATTCTTCCCTCACTGTCTACTTTCTCCACAAATTATCAATGAAGAGTGGCAACCTGCGTTTAAACCTATGTGCAGAGTACTGGGTGCAAAGTAGAGATTCAGTAAATACTTACTCAACTCTGTCCAAATTCTGCATATCCATACCCCCCCATTACACGGGTTATTAGTGGATGACCGCCAAGCTCTGCAGAGTTCCCCGAAAGGGAATACAGTAGCTATTTCAATTCCCTCTTTTAACCAAAATCACCATTGTGAATTTTGGTAAAATGTCATGATGCATTTGTTAAATTGATTATTTCTATGCTTACTGTCAAAGTCTAACTCTCTTTAAAGTTCCTCTTAAGAAAAAAGGGCTGCCTCCTTTTATAAAGTCTGACTTAATTCTAATGTTTCATCCTTGATCTGGACACTCGCTGTTTGGCCGGAACTGGAAGAAGTCTATCTCTAAAATGACTTGCATATAAAATGGGTAAACTGATGTATTCCTGTAGAGTCTACAATCTAATACATTTCTAGGTCTCTGTAATTAAAGCAGCAATTAGTATTGGGCTGTGGCCAAGGGGAATAGGAAAGCAGGAAGAAAAAGAGAGGCATCTTTCATCACTATTGGTTTGTTGTACACTTTACCCATGCTTTTAAAATATAAGTGAAATTTAATCTCCAAAATGAAAAAATAGACACATTTTCTAATAGCAAAATATAAGATTAAAATACTTAAAAATAAAATGTTAGTGTGAAATAGGGCTTTTTATATTTAAAAAAAAGAAACATTTTTGATTTGCTTTTCTTGTATAAGTCCTCTTATCGCATTAATAGTTACAACTTTCCAGAGTAGCTTTTATGAGACGCCGAAGGAGACAGGGAGGAAATCCTTTTTCAAGATACAAGGTCAGGACCCGAACGTATACACTGGACAGAGCAGTCCTCAACCTCAGATCCATCCACCAGCGCTGCAGAAAGGAATGCAGTATTTCCAACCTTGAGATTTTTCATTATATTTTCTTCTTCCTGGGGTTAAATTCTGTCCAAGAATATTCTACTTGTAAAAATCATTGTACTCTAGCTATAAAACATTTCATTTAAGGAAAAATTTTATAGCTTTCTGTGAAATACCTCCCAAAGCCATCAAGATCTGGGGACACCAGACTTTCAAGACATAAACCTAACCATATGCCCTTGAAACAGTATCAACATTGAACAGAATGAGTTATAGTCTTATATTTGTTTGTCATGAGATGAAGGCTGGGAGGCATATGCCGAGTAACAATCGTTCCTGAGCTTCTGAAGAAATTTTACAACGAAATGACTAACTGCTTAAAAGAATGAGTTCTTCAAGAGCGCCCCTTCTGTTCCATTGATGTCTTTCATCCCATCTATCTCCTCAAAGAATCTCAAGCCAAAAGAATAGGCTGCCTTTTAAGCCACTGAAAAATGGGATCTGATGGAATCTTCCCGTAACTCCCGATGTTTTCCAACGTGACTTTCTTCTTGCTGGTTTCGCCTCTCAATGGTTATTCTGTATTTCTTCCTGGGTAAAGGGAAAGTGAATGTAGTAATAAAACTTCATTTGGCTACAAAATAACTATGGTTTCTCTTACAAAGAATGACCTCAAGGGACATCTGGGTTTGGATTGATAAATGAGAAGTGACAGAATATGAAACCCTGGGCAGAGATTAAAGCAGTGTGCCCCAAGGCATCATGCCCTCATTCAAGGAGGAAAATTAGCCTGCTTTCCCAGATGCCATAGAACAAGCCTTCCCCTTCTTCCCTGGGTGCCTTGTGGGTTAAGTCTTGTCTATTCTGCCACAGACGCTCTCCCCAACTCCCAGGATATGCCCTAGAACAGGAATACAATTGTTTCCACAAAGAGTTGCAGACACCCAGCGTTACATTTCCATGCAGAAATGAAAAAATCATGGTCTAATGACTTAAGAATAAGCCACAAATTCAACCACCAAAGATTACAAAGGAATGGACAGCCCTCAAGAAGCAAAACTATCAGTATCTTGAACACACATAAATATTACAATTTTACAAGACTTGAGGCTTAACCACAGTAACTAAGCATGTGGGTTCTCAAATCCTGAGCACAGAGCAGCCTGAGAGCAGGGACTGCTCAGAGCCACTTCCTCCTCTATAGAAGGTGAACCCAGCACCTATTTCTGAATTGGAGGAAGCCTGAGAACGGGGAAGTTGACTTCCCCTTTGTCCAGATTCCTTCTCCACTTATGCACACTGTGGGTGGTAGGAATCCGGGTCAGAATATTTGTGAGCAAACAATGGCAGTGGCTATGTGGCCACAGGGCAAGGCAGCAGAAACCCTTGACCCCCTGCCTAGTGTGCCGCCCCGTTGACCACCAAACCCAGGGCCACCCCAGAGGAACGGCTTTGTTCTTTTCGCTGCCATGCTTTTTGGGTAAGAGCAAGAGGCAAGCAAGTCACAAGGAGAGTGCCAAGGCAAGTGACAGAGGCAATTAAGGAGAGTGAATGTTAAAACTCTATAAAGCGGTCCTGACCTGAAGAAGTAGAAGGCCATTAGCAAGCCAGCTCCTAGTAAGGCCCCCACGACAATCCCTGTCACCGCTGATTCTTCTAGGCCACCTGCTTGAAAAAGAAACACAGACAATCTGAGTTCATTTTGAGAAACAGCTAGAAATGCCTCATTCTGACTTTTCATTCACTGAAAACTTTCATTCAATGGAAGATGTTTCTCAATTTCCCACTTGAGGCAAATTTTCCAATTTTCCTTTCTTTCTAAGAAACATTTTCTAGGGGATCCTGTTTGTGGGGGGTGGGAGTGGTTGAGGTTTCACTTTTTGGTCTTTGGTTTTGTTTTTTAAACCAAGGGCAAAGCTTAAAAAGCACTTAAGAAAGTACTAGATAAACAAACTATTACAAGAAAGTGAGCACAATGGGAATAAAGCAGGGTCAAGGAGGATATGGGGAAAACTAGAAACTGAGGTTTTCAGATATATCCACACTCTCTTGAGTTTACAGGCAGAGAAGACAACCGCGCAGACCATGGGACTGACCCAGCATCTCTCATTTTCACAGATGGATGGTGACACTTCAAAGTGCTGGAAGATTTGGTGAAAAATTCACTGGGTCAGCGTTCTATTGTTAGATGTTCTCTCACCAAAGGCAGAGTTTCATGTCAAAATGTCTTATATAGCTTTGTGAAAATGTAAGTAACGATTTGCAACAATCAAGTTCAGTTATGTCCCAGTTATATAAAAATGAGAAGTAGCTAGCTTGTATAGGAAGAGTTTAGGATAAAGTCTTTCATGCATTATCATATTTAATCCTCAAAACAGTCCTAAGAGATAGACACATTCTTTTCATTTCACATATGAGAAAACTGAGGCTTAAAGAAGTGATGGAATGCTCCTGGAGGGTCACAAAACCAGTAAGTGACAAGGGTGGAATTTCAAATCCAGGCCCAATAACTCTAGAGACTGTGTTCTTAACATATTTCTGCCACACTCCTTCCCGTAATTATTGCACATACATAAAGACCTCACAGTTTGAGGGCTGTTCCCACAACACAAGGAGCACACACATATTAGCCGAAGGCGAGCAACTGGCCTGAAAGGTCAAGGTTGACACTCACTTTGCTCTCCCTCAATAGCTTATCAAAGGGTCTTTCTAAAGCAGTGATTTCCAACCATTTTCCTACTTGTAAGCTCCTTATCAGAACATCCTTTTGCCTCTATATTTATGACAAGGCTGCTCGTGAACAACAGATTTTACACTTATTTGCTAATTTGTAAATTTCTGAGTGTTTAAGGGACATTGTTTGGTTCTGAGGGGTAAGAGGATAAATACAAACTCTGAAACAAGAAATGAATGAGTGACATTTCATATCTGATCATTTAATTTTCCCTAGTAGGGTAAACTCAAATAGCCCAAGGTTACAGTAAGAGATGTAACAATAGGGAGAAGCCTTCCTACCGTTTTGGATAAGGGCAGAGGGGAAGAAGGACCTCGAAGCCGCTGATGAAGACGGATGCCAGTCTGTGAATTGTTCCGTGGGTTTTACACATCAGGAAAAGACACCTGAACTCTCAGAACATGAGCTCCTTGAAGAACACCTGTGTTACCCTGATACCACGGATGATGAAACCCAGATCTGATTAAGTCTCTAAACTTACATGATTTGCAAGGAGAGCTGTTTGTGTGCTCCACAATCCTGGTTTCATCTATTCTCAGTTTTAAAGGTCCCCAAGGATATTTGATGTTCGGCCGCATTTCAAAACGACCTTCTTTTCCAAAGTAATCACCAATAACCTATGTCGAGGCAAAAAAAAAAAAAAAGAGAAACGAAAGAAGAAAAGAAAGAAAAGAAAAGGAACAACAAAAAGAAAAACAAATAACAACAAACTAGAAAGGTCAAAAGTAGATTTAGTTTCCAAAAGGAGGACACAAGGTGGGGCTCCCTCTCCT